AAAACGGCTATTACATATTTGCAATTATGCTAAAACACTTGCAAGTAATAAAACAGTGATCGATAATTTTTAAGTGTAGTTAATTAACTAGAATGCATAGTATACATACTAACATTCAAATACAGTATTCTGTAGATATATGACTTAGATAAATACATTTAAAATTCAACTACATAAAAAAAAAGTATCTAGTATTATCTAATATATAGTAATATATGAAATAAAAATGATATGTAAATGTGTTATTTATAGAAAGAAATCATCAAACTTAAAAAATGGTTGATAAGTAGAAGATATACTACAAGTATTTCGGTACTTAAAAAAAAAAATTTGGTGCAAATGGGGTCAACGAACATCTAACCTTGAATTTGACTGGTTCAATGCAAGCAAATAAACCAATTTCATGTTAGTTACAAGAGAATAAACATAATTTTGTAAATATTACCGGTGTCACTTGACACCATATTTTAACCAATAGATTCGCCCCTGTTGATAGGGGTTGTCCTCTGGTATATACGATATTTTACTTATTTTTCTATTATTTTTAATATGTTTTTAATAAAGAAATGAAAGGTTTTTGGACTTAACATGCTACTTCAAGCATTTTCGTGGGTTTTGGAGCATTTTGAGCCTAGAAAGAGTGAAATCAAGGCTTTTCAAGGAAGGACAAATCCTGCATGTGAGATGTATCGTCAGATATGAAGGAGTTCCCACCGTCAGATCATTCTCATATTTTACCACGAGATAAAGGAGGATCTCAGCTTCATAATGAATATTCGATCGCCACAATCCGACGGTTAGATCTTGAGATATCTTCAATCTAAAGAAATATGTCCGAGTAAGGATCAAGCTAAAGGCGGTTTAGAATATCTACCCATGATCGACCGATCACCAAGAACAATCGACCGATCATAAACTCACTGTTTTTGATGGACATATGCTTTATCACGCTGATCGACCAATCACAATCGATCACCACATCATAGAAGATTGGGAATTTTTCTTTTTTGAAGATTTTCACCTAAATCCTTTGGAAAAAGCTCTAACCGACTTCTAGACCTAAAAAAGGAAACTTATCAGCCTCAAGAGAAGACTCCCACGCTCACCACCATCATCACTTCAAAGCTCTTAGTTCTTCACAAGTTCTAAAGGCATTCATCTCTTTACTTGTTACTTTGCTTTTGGGAGAAGGATTCTCAGCTCTTTCTAA